CAGGAATGACTGCTCTGAGCATTCATAATTAATGAATTTGGCTTTAAAAATCAGTTTTGTTGTTTTCAAGATCAACTTTGAGTCCTTTTTTTAGCTTATTATTTTTGAACTCTTAGGGCACATATGAGTCATATTTATAAGTTTCTGTCTACAATGAATTTAAAATAAAAGCTAAGTCTCTCACTTAATTGCTGGACTCCAAGAGCTGGGGCTTTAGGGAAAAACAATATAAAAGTATGTCAAGCTGGCAGTATTGGATATAATAACAGAGGCACTGCAAAACTTTGGATTTTTCTGTAACATTTGAGTGTTTCAGTAGTTAAGGAAAATACAAAGGAAGCTTTTTTTGACTAAGGTTTTCAGGCAGAAAACTTCTCTAATGACCCTAAAGAAAGGAAAATCTGTTAACAGTATAAGGATGGAAACAATTTTTATAACAAAATTTGGTCAAGATTATTTTCAACTTTTAGCAGAGAGCTCTTATCTTAATTTCATCTGGTAATGGAAATAACAGCACAAAACGGTAAGGAACAGTGTTTAAATGTCATCACTCTTACTTGCCCTAATGGCTCCACTGTCAGTGCCCACAGAATTTTCCAATTGTTGAATTCAGGAGTTAAGCAGATCCAAGACTTGCTACTGCTTCACTGTACCTGGTCAAGTGGCGATTGGGACGAGTTAAAAGGTTGAGCCGCAAACTGGTTTGGCAGTAATATGTCTATTTAATAATAAAATAAAGTATCCATAACTAAACTAATTCAGAGAGGGAACTGGGAATAAATAGTAGGGCTGATCAAAGAGGAAGAACAGTGTTAAGTGAAGTAATGAAGTTTCAAACTCTGCTGTGAATAAATTTACAACTAGACATTTCAGAATGTTTTGCCAAAAAAACAGTTGGGTGTCTACTCAACCCCAAATTGCCAGTCCTTGGTGACTAAATTGCTCATCTAGAACGTGCTCTGAATCAGGCAGGCTCCTTCCGGCTCCCCATAAGTGGCTATTCTGGAGTGGAACTCTCTAATTTTGACTATGCTGTACTTGAAAAATCAGGTTGTCAGAAACTTTGTCAGAAGATGTACTGTTTTCAGAAAATGTTTTGGCTTCAGTGAATCAACATTTTATTACAGAAATATATTGCATGTTGTACTGAAAAAATTCTGCCTAGCTTTTCGGGGTAGGGGAGCTGCTTTGAATCTTGAGCCTTCCAGAATTGGGGATTTGTGTGACTTGAAACCTGTCAGCAGTCACATTTAAACCATAGAGATTCATTGTATCCCAGGAAATTTTAGGTACGTTTTGTTCCTGAAAGCTGATCTATTGCTGTTCTCTCCCACTTACTTCTGTTACTTACAGTATATTATTTCTGTATAGAAATCTAGAGATTTTGTAGATTGTAAGTGCAAAAGAGGGATCACTTTGATTGTGTTGTCTGACTTCCTCCATTGCAAGGCAGATAAACCTTACATAGATATGTATCAAGCCCAAAATTTCATTATCTTCAATTTTTTGGCTTTATAATAGCTTTAAGAAAGGTATCCAGTGTTATATAAAATTTTGGGACATGTAGCATGTTACTGACTGTTTGTCATAGAAGCAGATATCCTCTCCAGCCGTTACTGTTTTGCTGTTCTTGAGTTTCAGAAGTGCTTTGCATTAAGGTCTGGAACGTAACTTGAGGGGCCAGGTTTACAGTAGTAGCCTTTAATGTCCACTCTATTTTGTACGGACAAATTATGCAATTCAAGAGACAGGAAGAGACTTGCATTTTAAAGCAGAGATGCCTGGGCCAGGTAACCTTTTGGTACTGGTGTGATTTTTCTCTTAAATCTTTCCACACAGAAAGAGTTTGGAAGAGAAGGCTGTTAATAATAAAGATCTTCATAATCCTGTCCTGTACTTATTAAGGGATACAGTTCTGTTTTCTAGAAAAATACTTGCTCTTGCCATTAGTGGTAAACAGGCAGGCAGCAGTTTGTAGTACCTTCTCCACTGAGAAGTTGATGACTTTTTTTTTTTGCTTAAGGGTATATGGCTTAAAAAGCTTCAATAAATAACACACTAACTTTAAAAATTGTGTTCTACTGTGTTTATCTGTTATATGCATATAAAGGTAACTATAATATTTTCTGTAAGGATGTATGCTTTTAACTATGATTTACTATACTGGCTCTCTTTTTAAAAATACTTGTCTTGGAGCTCCCTCCATTCATTACTATTGGATAAAAATCTCTTCTTTGTAAACTTGGACCAGCATAAGCTGTTCTAAGAAGTCAGAAATGGAAAAGTTGTATTAGATCATCCATCCCCTTGCAAA